CCAGTGCGCGGCGTCGAAGTCGTCCGCGATGGCCATGAATGTAACTGTCTTTAGGGAGGGTTCTGGCCTTGTCTGATGATGCGCGCGTCGATGGCGACGTAAGCTGCGACGTGCGCGCTCCCTCGGCCAAGCTGGTCCTACCCCGCCCCGAGCCACGCGCGCTCTTCCGCCCCGAGGGCCCACAAGTCCTCTGCAATCAATAGTTCCAGCGTGCTGATGGTCAGCGTTCTGTAGCCTGGGAACACCTCCAGCGATTTTATGGGCTTTGCGCTTGTGGGGCGTGGGCTGCAGCTTCCACGTGCGGGGGCGACCCCGTGGAATCTGGCCATGCTCTGCGCTGCCGCAGGAAGGCGGTGCGCGCCGGGGCGAGCAGCTTACCGCTCGCGCGCGGGAGCCCCCCGCTGGCGCGGCCGGCCTTGACCCTGCCGGTGGCGTCTTGGAACTGTTCCGCGGTGTAATTACTCCCGATGGTCGGTGTCCCACTGTTCCCGCCAGGACCGACGGTTTCCCTGGAGGACTGCGGCGCATGGGACCGCCGTCGCCTGGAGCCCCTCGGCGTTGAATTCCAGTCGCTGGGCCCGGTCTTGACCGCGCTGCGCGAGGTAAACTCTGCAAGCCCGACGAAGACTTCGTCGCCGCGGAGCATGGCGGTCGGCTCCGTCGGGCTCTGCATCGCGTCAGGGAGCCCCGCGCCTCGCTCCCAGGGCTGGCGGCTGGGGAATGCGTCTGCAGCCGCCGGGTCGACTGCCAAGCGCTACTCGCGGCGGGTTGCCCGGCGCCGGGCGAAAAGCTCGCGCGTGCCCCGGCGTGCCGCATCGCCGCCCCGCGCCCGCTGCCAGGGGCGCAGCGCTGGCTGGCCGCCCTGGCCGCTCCGCGGCGGATTCCGCCGCGAGAGCGCTCTCCCTCCCCCCCCTCCGTCCCGCGGCCGCCTCTTTCCCCTTTTCGCCCGCTCTCGCCTCTGGACAATCAGCGCCTGCCGTCTCCCGGCCCGCCCGAACGCGCGCGCGGGCTGCCTCTGCCGCGCTGCGACGAAAAAGGCCCCATCGCGCGCGTCTGCATGCTGGAGACGATGCCCCACGTAGATTTAGCGCAGCACGTGGGCTACCGGGGATCGGGCAGCGGCGGCACCTCGAAAAGCTGACCGTGGACCTCTGCGAGGAGGATGCAGGCTAGCCGCAGCCAGGAAGTTGCCGACGCCGCGACCTCGAGCTCCGATTCGCTCTTGGAGCGCCACTTAGCCTGGTGGCGCGTCCAGCGCCGACTCTCCGTGGGCGCGAGGTCGGAGAAGTTGTCGAGGACGGTCTCAGTGGTGGAACGTGGCCCACAGCTGCTGGGGCGCGCCCGCGAGCGCGACGGGGTGGTGGTCCAGGTCCGCGCTGCCGAACGTCTCGCGGTGGCTTGCGCCCTGGGCGCGGGTGCACCTGGCCGCTTAGCACTAGATTCCATACTTGACCTCGGCGCTCACGCATCCTGGGCCGGACGTCCACGCCACGTCGGGCCTGCGGCCGCCAGAAGAGGCAGGGACCTCGTGGGACACCAAGCCTCGGAGCAAGTGGCGCCGTTGCGGACGTGGTCGCGGCGTGCCGCCTCCGGCGTCTCGGAAGGCTCGAGGTCCCCGTCGGGCCACGATGGCCGTCTCCTGCGGGCCGCGCTGGAGCACTCGGTCGTGTCGGGCGAACCTCCGCGAAGAGCTCGGGGCGCTTGCTTCCGCAGGGGCAGTCGGACACGCCGGCGGGACCACGCACCCTCCCGCGATGACATGGGGCCCCACACGGAACCACGCCACGCGCGGAGTCCCCGACCAGCTCGTCATCCACTGCACCGTGGTCGTCGCGCCGATAGCCCCGAGTCCGCGGCGTCGTAGTCGGAGGTCGGCGGGCCCATGTGCTCCGCTGGGAGCTCCAAGGAAGTCTCGGGCGAAATCGGCCCCTGGGAGCAGCCGGCAGGCCGTGCGCGAAGAAATCAGCGCCGAGGCTGGACATGAGATGCCCCCGATCGCGCCAGCGGCCCAGCGCGAGCAGAGTGCCCTTGGGCCTCGCCCCTCCCGAGAGGCCCGCGCTGGCGCCGGCGCCCTTGGGCAACCTCGGCGGGCCCCGCTTCCGCCGCAGTGGCCTCGACGTCGGCCAGGGGCGTCTTGGCCTGCCGGGCTGCGCAGGCGCAGGCCGCCGCTGCCAGCCGCGGGGCTTGCGGGTTGCGTCGCCCGCACGGGCGGCCAGTCGCGGGCTGCTGAACAAGACGAAGCCAGGACGAGGACAAAATCGGGTGAGGGTACATCGAGAATCTCTCAGGTTCGGCGGCTCTGGAATATGTCTGGGGCGCCGCGGCCTTCTCGGAGCGTTCCGGAAAGCTCTGGGAGCGCTCTGGGACGCCATGGGACGGATTGATCCTCGTCCTCCTGAGGGGTGCCGCTTCCTTCCGGGGAGGAGGAGGAGGAGGAGGAGGAGGAGGAGGAGGAGGAGGAGGAGGAGAAGGAGCAGGAGGAGGAGGAAGAGGAGGATAAGAGGAGGAGGAGGAGGAGGAGGAGGAGGAGAGGAGGAGGAGGAGGAGGAGGAGGAGAGGAGGAAAAGGGGAGGAGGATGGAGAAGGAGGAGGAGGAGTGAAGGAGAGGAGGAGGAGGAGGAGGAGGAGAGTAGGAGGAGGGAAAAGGAGGAGGAGGAGGAGGAGGAGGAGGGAGGAGGCGCGACGCCCTCGCGAGGCGCCCCCGGCGCAAGCGCCCGCGCCGCCGCAGCCAGCACCAGGGCCTCGGGTCCGGACGGGGCGGACACGCTGAGCCCAGTGGCGCAGGACGCCTCGCGCGCGCCACCACACGTTGTGCCTGCAACCCGGCGCGGGCCGATGGGGTAACGGGCGAACGCCTTCAGTGTGCGGCGCCTCCATCGTCCTGCCGGGCGGAGCGGGGGAAGGGACGACAGGGGCTGCTGCACCCGCCTCTCATCCTCCTTCCTATCCTCCTCCTCCTCCTCCGTCTCCTCCTCCTCCTCCGTTTCCTCCTCCTCCTCCTCCGCCTCCTCCTCCTCCTCTTCCTCCTCCTCCTCCTTATTCCTTTTTCCTTCGAGATCGCTCCCCCCCCCTGTTACAGCCCGAAGCCTGCCGAAAGGTGGGGTGGGCATTTCGCCTGAGATTTCCTTACAATTTGGCCAGAGTTGCACGGATTGAGGGCGGGTGGTTTTCAAAATGTGGTTCTCGCCTTAGCGCCGTGCACATTCGTTTTGAACATTTGCCAGAGCAAAAGGATTCAGGTCGTTTTCAAAATGTGGCGCTCGCCTTAGCGCCGCGCGCAAATTTTGAAAGAGCTTCGCGGATGGAGGGCGGCTCCTTTTCAACATGTGGCTCTCGCCTTAGCGCCGCGCACATTCGTTTGAAAGATCAGAAGAGCTTTACTGATTCTGAGGGTAAACCTACCAGATATAGCATTTTGAAACGATTCAGGATTGTCAGAGTGCAACAGTTCCGTATATTCGCGTTGTTGGAATCACAGGAATGGTGTTCTGGCACGGTTCAGGATCGCCAGGACGTAACAGTCAGGTTAACTAGTGGCGTTGAACTCCTAAGAACGATGTTCTGGCACGCTTCAGGATTTTCACGATTGTCTCCCAACGGGACACTTCCCTCAGTGGAAATGAACGCATGTAGGGGCCTATGAAGAGGGAGCTTGGAGGGGGGATGTCTTCCAACATCGTTGATGCTGGCCCTCCTCCGCCTTCTCCTCCTCCTACGCCTTCTCCTCCCCCTCCTCTTCAACCGCCTCTTAATCATCATGGTCCTCATTCTCTCGCAGTTCCTCTTCCTCCTCCTCCTCACCACCACCACCATCTTCATCATCATCATCATCATCAGCATCAGCATCAGCATCATCATCGTCATCATCATCATCGTTATCATCATCATCATCATCATCATCATCATCATCATCATCATCATCATCATCATCATCATGGTCGTCATCATCATCATCATCATCATCATCGTCATCGTCAGCATCGTCATCGTCATCATCATCATCATGATCATCATCATCATCATCATCATTATCGTCAGCATCGTCATCAGCATCATCATCAGCATCATCATCACCATCACAATCATCATAACCCTCACCCTCACCCTCACCCTCACCATCACCATCATCATCAGCATCAGCATCAGCAGCATCAGCATCAACATCATAATCATCATCATCATCATCATCAGCATCATCACCATCAGCGTCGTCAGCGTCAGCGTCAGCGTCATGGTAATCATCATCACCAGCAGCAGCAACAGCATACATCACCATCACCACCATCACCACCATCATCATCACCATCATCACCATCATCATCAGCAGCATAATCGCCATCACCACCATCATCACCATCATCGTCATCATCAGCAGCATCATCACCACCACCACCACTACCATCATCATCACTAGCAACAACAACATCATCAACATCATCATTATCATCACCATCATCATCATAACCGTCATCAACATCACCATCACCATCATCAGCATCATCATCATCATCATCATCATCATCATCATCATCATCATCATCATAATCACCACCATCATCATCGTCGTCATCATCATCATCATCCGCATCATCATCATCATCATCATCATCAGCAGCACCAGCATCAGCATCAGCATCAGCATCATCATCAAAATCATCACCCTTGTCGTCTCCTTCCTCATCCTCCCCCTCATCCTAACACCCCCTTCCTCGTCCTCCTCCTCGTCCTCCTCCTCCTCGTCCTCCTCCTCCTCGTCCTCCTCCTCCTCCTCGTCCTCCTCCTCCTCCTCCTTCTCTCCCTCCTCCTTCTCCGCCTCCTCCTCCTCCTCCCCTTCCTCCTCGCTCCTCCTCCTCCTCCTCCCCTTCCTCCTCCCTCCTCTCTCTCCTCTTCCTCTGCCGCCTCCCCATCACCATCACCACCATCATCCTCCAACTTCTCCTCCTTCTCCTCCGCCTTCTCGCCCTCGTCTCCTCCGTCATCCCCGCGACCGAGGCCCCCGCGGGTCGCAGGCGTAATACCTGTCCAGCAGCAGCACCACGTCGAACAGGAGGCTGTCCTTGAGGCCAGCGGGCAGAGAGGGAGGGAAGGAGGGACGGAGGAAGTGAGGGAGGGAGGGAAGAAGGCGGGAGGACACGGCACGTGAGAGGAGGAAGGAGGGAGGAGGTAGGAGGGGGTTGGAATATCTAGGCTTTCGGACTTTCTCGTCGGTTCTCGGCGTTTATCCAAGCCCGCGAGGGAAAGAAGGACATATTGTGACGGCGAGCCGTAAGAGGGAAGGCAGATAGGGGGCGGGCCTTCTCAGAAAACTCAGGATTCGAGGCCTTCGGAGAAGCCGTGTGCGCCGTCTCCGAAACCACAGGCGGCTCCAAGAAGGCTGGAGAGCTTCTGAGACGCCCCGCTGCCTTCTGACAAGGCCTGCCCCCTCTCGCTGGACCCAGGGGCGCGTCGCCGACAGGGGATGCGAGAGGAGGAAGGAACCCAGACCCCCTCGCGGCGTGACAAAAATCACGGCAGACGGTTTGGGGGTATGTTCTGCCTCTGGGGCCTCGCAAGGGCCACAGGACTGACGTAAGAGCGACCCTGGGTAAGTGACCGTTGGTGCGCGGCTTTTCGGGGGCCGCGGGGGGGCCAACATACAAGCGCGCCAGACGCCACTGCCACCTCGCGTTCGGCGATGGGGGGGCCCCAGTGGGCCCGCACCAAAGGGGCCGCGGGGGGGCCAACATACAAGCGCGCCAGACGCCACTGCCACCTCGCGTTCGGCGATGGGGGGGCCCCAGTGGGCCCGCACCAAAGGTAGCTCCAGCGAAGGGTCACGCTTACGCGCAGTCGATATCAAAACGCGACTCGGGATGGAATGCCAGTCCTGGGGAATGGGTCTCGAGACCTCTGGGGGTCGACGTTGCGAAAAAGTCATGGCGTCGGAGGCCCCGGCAGGGTGGGGCGGAGGAGAGGACGGAGGAACAGCACGCTGCACAGGACACAAACGCTCCGAGCTCCGCGCGGATCTCGCGCATCGGCGCTGGACCCCCCCCCCCTCCACTGGCGGCGCCCCTGGCACCGCCCCCCTGGCGGCGCGCTCCGCGCGCCAGGGGAGAGGGGGTGGGGCGGGGGGCGGGCGCCGACCCGAACAGCCCGCGCGGAGCCCCGAAAGCTCGTGCACGAGCTGCGAATTCGACGGAGCCCATCGCCTCCGAGCCCGCGGAGGCCGCAGCCTCCAGCCAATGACGAGGTCGTCTCTGGCGGAGGGTGCTCGACGTTAAGGCTTTCAGCTGGGCTGATGCGTAGCAGCTGGACCGATACTTTGAAGTTAACTCGCAGGAGCTCCAGCTGCCGGCGGTGCGCAGCTCCCCTCCGCGAGAAGGGGGGGGGGGGCCTCGCGAGCCACGTGCCGAGCCGCGGAGGCGGCCAGCGCCACGGCGGCCCAGGTGCCGTCGCCCGCCCAGCGGCCCGCGCGTGCGCGGCGCGAGCGGCACTCGCGGAGCTCTGGCCGGAGGTGCTCTCCCGTGCTCGGGCCACGACCGGGCAATGCACTGCAGGCCCTGGCTGCAGCCGCTCCGCGCAGCTGGCCCAGAGGGCGGAGGGAGAGGGGGAGGAGGAGGAGGAGGTGGAGGAGGAGGAGGAGGAGGAGGAGGAGGTAGGAGGAGCGAGGAGGAGGGGAGGAGGAGGAGGGAGGAGAAGGAGGAGGAGGGGAGGAGGAGGAGGGGGAGGAGGAGGAGAGGGAGGAGTGTGGATGGAGAGGAGGAGGAGGAGGAGGAGGAGGAGGAGGAGGAGGGAGGATGAGGAGGAGGAGGAGGAGGAGGAGGAGGAGGAGGAGGAGGAGGAGGAGGCGGGGGGGGGAGGGCGGAGGAGGAGGAGGAGGAGGAGGAGGAAGAAGACCAGTGTAGACCCAAGGCGCATCAACGATTTTTCAATAAACCCTCCCTCCAAGTTCCTCGTTCACAGATCCCTACAAGAAGTTATTTTCATTACGGGAGGTTCCCCCTTGAAAGAAACTGAGAATCTGCCATCGTGCCAAAACACCCTTCCTGGGACTTCAACGCCGCGACTCAACGTGACTTTTGCGTTCTAGTCTAAATCGTGCCAGAACACCGTTTCTGGGACTTCAACACCGCGAAACAATGTTACGATTGCGTCTAGACAGTCCTACGTCGTACCAGAACACCGTTATTGGGTCTGTAACCGTACGAACCCACGCAACTGCCATAAACTTTGAAGACGAGAACCACATTTTGAAAATAAACCGCCCTCAATCTGTGAAAGTGATTCAGCCTGTTGAAACGAATGTGCTCAGAGCCAAGGAGAGAGCCACATTTTGAAAACCACCCGCCCCCAATCCTTGAAGCCGACAATTTTTCCGACGAGAGCCACATTCTCAGAATGGTCCGCCCTCATTCGTTGAGACTGCTGTCAACTGTGAAGACGACTGCGCACGGCGCTCGGGCGAGAGCCACATTTGAAAAACCACCCGCCCTCCATCCATCACGCTGTTCCAACTTTCAAACTTCAGGATGATACATGGTGGGGAAATCTCGGACGAAACGCGTGGCTCGCCCTACTGTCACGCATGGGGGCGCGACAGGGAGGAGCTATCATTCCCCAATTAGTGCTTGCACTTAAGGGTTCTTACTTCTGGAAATAGGCAACGGCCCTGAATGACGGTCTGGCGGCTAAGTTGTCGCCGTCGCCGCCCCGTCGCCGCCTCGTCGGCGCCCGACGTCTGGGCCTGAATGACGGTCTGGCGGCTACGTTGTCGCCGTCGCTGCCCCGTCGCCGCCATCGCAGCTCGTCGCCGCCGTCAGATCTCACCACATAGAGTGCGCCACATAGATAGCGCATCACAGATACCGCACCACGTAGATTGCTCCACAGAGATTGCACCACGTAGATTGCACCACACCGATTGCACCGCGTATATTGCACCACATAGGTTGCACCACGTAGATTGCACCACGTAGGTTGCACAACATAGATTGCACAACACACATTGCACCACATAGATTGCACCACGCCGATTGCACAACATAGATGGCACCACGTACCTTGCACCACATTGCACCTCCATAAAGATTGCACAACATGTGTTGCTTGACACACACACACAGTTTGGGGCCCACGCCAGCTAACATATGAGGAGGAAGAGGAGGAGGAGGAGGAGGAGGAGGAGGAGGAGACGGAGGAGAAGGAGAAAAAAGAGGAGGATGAGGAAATAAGAGCAGGAAGAGGGAGGAGGAGGAGGAAGAGGAAGAGGAACTGGAGGAGGAGGAAGAGGAGGAGGAGGAAGAGGAACTGGCTGAGCAGGATGAAGAGGAGGAGGAGGAGGAGAAGGAGGAGGAGCGACTAGTGTAAACTAAAAACGCATCAACGATGCTCCAATATACCCTCTCTCTCGTAGTTTCCTCTTCACAAGCTGCTACAAAGATGTATGTTCGTATGTTCGCTACGGGAAGATCCCCGTTTGACGCAGTTCTACCGTGCCAAAGCACCATGCCTTGGAATTCAACGCTGCGAATCAGCGTCACTGTTGCGACCTGACGACCTCAAATCGTACCAGAACGCCGTTCCTGGGACGACGACACCGCAAATCAACGTGACAGTCGCGCCCTGACTTTCCGAACTCATGCCAAAGCACCAAATCTGGAACGTCAGCCATAAGGATCCTTGAAACTGCTGTGAACTGTTCAAACGAACGTGCGCGGCGCTAAAGGCGACAACCACATTTTGAAAAGGCGCTGCCCGCTATCCATGAAGCTCTTGCAAGCTGTTCAGACGAATGTGAGCGGCGCGAAGGCGACAACCACATATTGAAAAGGCGCTGCCCTCTATCCATGAAGCTCTTGCAAACTGTTCACACGAATGTGCACGGCGCGAGATGCGAGAACCGCATTTTGAAGGCGGCCTGCGCTCCAGCCGCGAAGCTCCTGC